TTCCCCTAGACACCAGTAATGCCTGAGCAGGACTACACTAGGAGAAATTGTCACCGATAAAAATCTAGGTGTTTGGACAGCTTCAAACCTACTGCCTTCGGAACATTCTAAAAGGGCAGTCCAAAAGGCGACGAGCATCATGCATTGGATCAAGTGTGGTTTTAAAATGTTTCCACCCGGACTGTTTGCGCAGCTCTTCAGTACTTTGTTAACATCGCAATTGGAATACGGAATTCCAGCATGGACACCACCGCTATGATGAGGCCCTCTGGGCATTAAATATAAAATCTATTTTTATTATTATAATAAGAAAATGATAGGTGTGCTTAATCTGTTTGGTTTGTGCTTATGATAGTCCATCTTCTCTTCTGAGGCAGGAAGATAATCGCCCATCTTTCGGCTCTTTATTCTTTCCCAAATAATCGCACACCACATAGCATATTTGCAGTTCTATCACGAGCCCTAGAAAAAAAAGATGCATTAATATCACGGTAGCTTTAAGTTTAATATGGAACCATATCTTTTTAATTCCTGCCTACGTCTTGCCGTGCGACCTATGAGAGCACTGCAAGTGCCCTCTATAATATTTACAATAAAATTATGTTTACAATGGAAATTTAATTATTTACTCATTGATAGTCTCCATCACCGACAGGCGTACGCTCGTTATTAATTTATATCAAAACCGAGAATGTAAATAGGATGAGAAATTAAACTTTTTAATTTTGTCTAAATACGGCCGGTACCCGGGGCTGTCATAATGTACTTTATGTTAACTTTGTAAGTGCCCGCTGTTTACGGATTCTGGGATACCCGGTCGCTTTGCCTGTTATTGGAAAGGCGCAGCTTTCACGTCGCAAATTACTCCCAGAAGTGGATTATAATTAGAAAAAACATGTCTGTTGTCGACGCTGTCATTCAAACTTTATCGTCGCTAAAGTTTGATAGCACAAATGCTGAATCTGGTGACGGAAAGTCGCCATCGCCCGACAGCGAAACCCTGGAAACAGCTGTTAGTTATTTTAAAAACCATATTTATCGTTTTTAAAGGAAAAGCTTAGGGTTTTTTACTCTTTGCCGACAATAGCAAAGAATATGGGGCCAGAAGAGTGCCAAACCACTTTAATACCGATGTTGAGTGGTAAGTAACTTTATGTTCGTGTATTATTGACCGTTATACCCTTTATACTATGCTTCATTTCGATTATTTGCTTGGTTATATTGTTGCGATCGTGAGTATGTACTCTGTTTTATTGAAAGTTTTATATTTATACGTTAGATAGGACATTAAACTTTAAGGGAAGTTCCCCTTAGCTTTTTTTCTTTTTCACGGTTTATATTGCTATTTCTGCCAGCTCTACGGTTTTTATTAACTTATCTCCAGAAAGCACTATCATTCACCTACTATTCTGGCTTCCTTTACTCCATTCTTATCTGATTTTTTTGCGATAGTTGGTGGAAAACGTAACGGTATGATCAGCTGTTTTTATGTAGCCGAGTCGTCCGCAGGTCATATTTCATAATACAGATGGTATGTTAAAAATGAAAACCTTGATCTCGACGGTTTCGCGGTGTTCATATTTTTTGGTAATTTATGATCTTTTGTCCCATCGAAAGTGAAGGCTTGCATAAGTGACGAACCAATTTTCATCCATGAGCTGGCCTGCGCGTACTCGTGGGCTAAATGTAGACCACGTCTAATTAAAGCTAGGTAAGTATCTCTACTCGTGATCTGTTCTTTATTAGTGGTTTCGTCTGCGCCGTCCATGGCTTAGCAATTTGACACCTTACGATTGGTGTTTGCTTAGCAGGATGGTGGTTGTGTCTGATAT